CAAAAATATATTAGATGTTCTCTAGTTCATGGTATAACGTGTAATGAATAGTGAGGGCTAAAACATAAAAGTATATATTGTGAGAGGAGAGAGGGAAACATTTGGCCTCTGACATAAATATGTTTTCAGAAAGTTGTTTCAGAGCTAGTACGTGAAATGTTCAGAAACAATCCAGTGTCTTTAGGCTACCCGAGTATCTCTAGGACACTACACTTGCATAATAAAAACAAGATCTTAGGCGTACTGTAGTCTCTTATGTGCTCTCTGTCTGTCTGAGGCTTTGGTCTCTTTACCTACAAATTTTACTTTCTGCTCATGTCTCACTCTCCAGCAGCCAGGGGTGTTTTGTGGGCTGTTACTATAAGAAGGATCCTAATCTCCAAGAACACTTTGACATATGAATATGAAACAGACAACTGCTCCCCGCTTTCCCAAGTCGTGTTTTGTTTCTGTAAAATGAAATCTACCAATTTGGAACTTCTCTTTAGATTAAGAAGCTGACAAATATTTTAACCTTTTTAAAGAGTAGAAAAGACCTGGCTTATTACATGATTGCAACTACTCCTGCTCTTTTTAATGATCTTTGAATCAAGCTATAATTTTGGTTTGAGATGAAAAGCCTGATGATATCTAACTAGGGGTAGATTAAATTCCTTGTGCTGCAAAATGAAGATTCTTTAGGTGTTTTTAAATGTAATGGGACAGGAAATTTAAAAAAAAAAAAAAAAAAAAAAAAAAAAAAAAAAAAAAAAAGGGCTGTAATTAATGTCAATCAACATTGTTCTGTGGAAAAAAAAAAAAGCTCTTGTCACACAAAATTTAATTTTTTCTTTGAACAAGGTCACAAGATTGGATGATGAAAGTATCTCTGAAACTGTAATGTTCTTAGAATGAGATATTGTTATAACCAGCCCTGCCTTGGGTTATGGGACAGAACTGATTATGCTTTTATTTCCCCAAGCTATACTTAATGTATTACGTCACACTTCTTTGAGGTGTTTTAAATGGAATTGCCCCAAAGTTTCATTAAACATCTAAAACATCTAAACATCATTAAACATCTAAATACAGTACATGGACAAAGAATCCTAAATGATATCTGGAAAATCATTAGCGAAGGTGTGACTCTTAAGTAGGTATTCTGGAAGTGATTTTACTTTGGAGCTACATTGTCATACATATTTCATACAGGGTAGCAGGGAAGTATGAAGTCATTTCTGATTGTGGATGAATCATTTGGTTATTTGGCCAATACAAATGACTTCAGGACTTCCAGCAGCAAAACGGTATATTGTATCCTGGAAAACAAGAATTCTGAAAAAGGGTTTAGAAATCAGGAAACAAATTAGCTCAATAGAGTGATCTGATCATGGGAAGCTTATTTAGGGATGAATTTTACAAATGCCTTTGGAATTACATAGGTTACATCCGAAAGTAATGTGAAAAGAACTACTTGAAAGCCACTTTCCTTTTCTGTGATTCTATAAACAGAATAGAGGTCAGAAAACAGGAAATTTTTTTTTTTAAGCTTACAGTTTGTAAGCTTAGCTTTTCTAGTACAGTGAATTTAATCCTGTGTTTTGAACGGAAGATGGATTCGTGCCGTTCAACAGTGTCCTGAACTTATCTTACCTGCAGATTCAGATCACACAGCAAAACATTTTACAGTCATAGCATCAAGTCCCAGAAACAATAAGGAAGTCCTATCTATAAGAGACAATCTCAAAGAGGTATTTTTACAGTTAATGTACAGAAGTACACTGGGAAAGTCTTTAATCTGGAGAAGTATATCAAGCCAGACATAGACAAGTGAAAAATAAAGGGCGATATTTGGTTAAGCTTTGAAGTTAATTAATCACATAATGAACTGCTTAGAGACGTGGTGACCTCCTTATATCCTGAGGTCTCCAAATCAAATTATGAGGCTGGTACTGACTTATTGAGCAATGCTAAGACCTCTGGCATACCTCTGATTGGGAAGACTTGGCTTGTACACCCTTCTGGCCATAAATATGGACTGCATATAGCTCTTTTCAGTCTGAGCTCCCAGCATCGATTTGCTTGTGTTTCACAGGCTGATCCCTTAGCCTCTGTGCATCCCAAAGCTCTTTGGGTCAAGGAGAGGAGGGCAGGCCAGAGCACGATGCTTCATGGCAAAGGCAGTGCAGTGTGTATGGCATTGATTTCTAGATGTCATCTCATGAAGAATTTGATCTTTTAAGTTGCACAAAGGACTTGAATGCTTTTAGGCAACCAGTAGAGCTGGCAGAGGAATGCTTTTTTTTTTTTTTTTTTTTTTGGGGGGGGGGGAGGGAGGGAGGGAGGAGGAGGTATTGTTGAACTTTTGAAACACCAAAAAATGTTTGGATTAAAGTGAGGGAGAACTGAATATTTTTTACTCGCTCCTGAAAACTCTTTCTTCTCTGAATATGTTCTGTGGAGAAAATAAGATATTTCTAATTAAAATTCATTCCAAGTCCACACTAGAAGAACTACGAACATCATCTTTCAAAAATTCCATGAAAGTAGTGATTTATTTCAGAAATATAGCAAAATAAGACATTGCTTCCTCTCCATATGTGCATATGTGTATATAAAGGAAGGAATGCGTATATATTTTATATGCAAGTTATGTATTCACATCCAAAACACACACTTTGTGAGGCTGTGTAGACTTTCTCTGGCTTCCTGTAAGATTCCCAAGGCTTGAGGATGTGTTCAGCAGGTGCAAAAACTCCCTTAGCCAGAGAAATTCAGCTCCACCACTGAGCGCTTGAGAGAGTAGCTCAGCCGTTTAGTGGCAGTGTAAATGCAGTACAGACAGCTACATTGTAATTGCTTCTGTTGAGAGTGAGAGAGTATTATTTCATTGAAAGTTTTTGGTTTACGGCTACACTCGCACACTCTAGATCATCTGTTAGCCTGGTGATGAGCTATAGCAAGCAGCAGGAGCCTTCAGATAGCAGGGAGCTCAGCTAAGGTTGTATTTGGCACCATCCAATGGCATGCAGTCCTGTGGGTCTTTATTCATTTCAGTTGTGAATGCTGTGGCAAGATAAATTCAGCTTTGTTCCTGCAATGGGAATGGTATTTCTCCATGCTGTTACCTACTCTCATGGAGCCTCACATGTGATCAGAAAGGCAACAGATACTACAGAAGTTTCAAAACTTGCCTTCTGAAAATGTCCCATGTTCAAAATGAAAAGCACCACCACAAATGTGAAAAGAACTGGAATCCAAAATTTCTTTTTTCATGGCACGACTCCTTACATCTGTACATTTCGACTGACAAATGACTGGTTCATTTGGATAAAACCCAAAGATCAAAACTAATAAATGTATTGGCAAGAACATCCATGGAAACTAGTTTATTTAAGACACTATTGAAAGACATTTGCCAAGTGGGAATTTTAAATATATTGACCTCAAATGCATGCAATGGGAAATCTGGATACCATTCAACCACATAATGAGGGATTCATATTGTATCATTTAAGTGAACAGTCACAGCAATGAAATTTTGATTGCGCAGTGTTCTCAAAGTGGTTATAAAGTGATCTGGTAAGCAGAAGTGATTCACAAGAACGAATCTAAGAAAACAGTACACTGTATTAAGGATGTACACTGTTTTAGGATCAGTACACTGATCCTGAGGATGACAAGAAAAGAAAAAAAAATTGCTGGGAGATGTGCAGATGAATGTTGCTTAAGAGACAACAGTGAATGCAGCAAAGTCAGAGCAAGCTGCCAGGCTGTGTCTGACTCTCAAAACCTCATAGCCTCAAAGAGGGCATGGATCTACTCCCGAGGGGTCAGGGCAGACTTGAGGATGGCCATCTCTGGGGCTGCTTCCTCAGCTGAGCGTGGGCTCCTCACCCTCAGAAATGTCTGTAGCAGCAAGCACTGCCCTAGGGAAAGATGGGCAGGGAGTGAACTTAGGCTGCAGAGTGTAGAAAGTGTAAAAATATTTCTTGATGTCTCAGAGACTTCTTGTTCTTTTATTTTTATCTCTGTTCCTGCTAGCTCTGACCCCAACTCGCCTTCTTGTCTGAACAGAAAGAATTAGCAGAGCTTTATCCTCCAGCTCTTCTCTACTGCATTTCTGGGCCCTGACAAAAGTCATGGCTTCATTTTCTTTAATTTCTTCCCTGCCTTTTCTTGTGTTATCTGTAAGTGCAGTATCCACAAAGATGTGTTCTCAGCAAGACGTTCTACAATACATCACCCCATTGATCCATACCTGTCAGCTCTCCTCTAATTTTCAGCTTCTCTTCCCCAACCTTCTGAGGGAATGAAAGTGGGCAAATGGCTGCTGCTCATCTTGCTGCAGCCACAGTCATCATACAGACCCAGTGGGGGGATACAGCAAATCGGCTCTGATTAGCAAAGGTAACCCAGGGACTCTGCCATGCTTGTGCTCTACAGTGAGAAGATCAGCAAGGTCAAGTTATATCCAAGAAATCAACCAACCATTTTTTGGAGTGCCAGCCAAAATCCTTATGTGACCTGACAAGAACTGAGGAACATCAAAACCTCACTGCTTTTCTCTCTGTGTGTGAGGGACATTGGTTCTGACCTGCCTTTTCCAACACAAACATAGTTCTTTGTGCATATTGTAAAAACACACAGAAGTGCTTCACTGCTCATTCATCCCATGCTGGGGAGGAACAAATTGAACAAACAAATGGCATATGTTAGTCATATTGCTTCATACACTGCTGGAATGTGTTCGGATACTCTGGTGCCTTCTATTAAGTTCACTGTAAATTAAATATAAATGGTTTTTAAGGACTAAACTGTGACATCTGAAATGAAGTTTGAATTACATGAAGCCAGACAAATGTGAAAAAGCATTTTCTAGCCTTTATGAAGTACATGCATGTTGTGAAAACACTCATCTGACTAAATTGAAAATGACTGAGTAAGGTAATTCTGACTTTTTTTTTAGTGCTATTCATACTATTTGAGTAACCATGACTGTAAATTGGCTTTTTTTACAGATACTGTGCATCCTCCTCTTGCACGAAGGGTAGATGTAATAATTTTAAGTGGCATCATTGAAGCTGGGCAGACAAATGACAGCTGACAAAATTGAGTGGAAGTGTCTCAGGTTGGTCAAAATCTGCAAAAGTCTTTGTGAGAAAAAAAAAAAAATCACGATTTCAAAATTCTTTTCCTTTTGAAAGCTTTGCACCTATTTCACTTTTAAGATTAATTTTCTATTGCTCCTCTTCTCAGTATTTTCCCTGAATATTTTACACAGTGGTTAAAGAGCATTCTTCAAGGATATCGATAGCATCATCCATCCTTTCATTTCAAAATTCTCTGACAGGCATTATAGAATTTTGCAAATCCATCAATCCTTTTAGAGGGATTAGGAAGGAACAGGACCAGAGTTTTTACAGTCGATTTCCTCTCAATTCCCAGTAGTTTAACGATTGTAATCCTTTCTCAAACCAGAAGGTGGCAAGCACTCGTAAAATATGAACTGCACCACAACAAGAACGTCTCCTTTCCGATAAATCTCAGTCACCACTGTCATCTGCTCAGCGTCCAGCCTTGGGTTTTCCAGCCAGAGATCTCTGTTTAACAACGTCCCGTAAATCATAGCAGGACAGGACTAAAAAGGGAAACATGGAAGGGATTGAAACATTTCTTCCGTTATCATTAAAAAAAAAAAAAAATCTAAGACAAATGTAGAAAATAATTGTGCAGAAAATAAAGCTGACCGGAAAAATGAAATTTCCGCTCTGGCAAAGGGAGGGCTTTGCAGGGATGGGCTCTCACTGCAAGGGCTGACAGCAACACCGGACACCTGCAGTGAGCCCTGTACAGCCACTGCCCCATGCAAATGGCCATTCAGCTGCAAAATGTGGTGTGACAGTTTGCATGGATTTTCCCAGAAGGAAACTAGGCACTAACCTCAGTTATTGGTTTTCAGCAGTGCCAAAGCTGTGCAATTTTCTGCTCATCTACCAGTCCTAGGAAATAGAGTAATTTATGTGTACAAATAACAACAGGAGAAAGCTAATGTATTCTGGGTGTGTTGGCAGGAATTTACTTCTTTTCAAGAATTTCAAATTTCAATCTGTAACTGATCCAGGGGAAGAGATCCCTCAGGTCATCCTACACAGGGGAAACTGAAAGGTGAATTAATACAACCTCCAGATAAATGCCTTATGAGAAAACAATATGCCTTCCACTTTTGAAATGTTTACTTTGTTAATTAATTTTAGTGCTTGGGCTAAAGACTTCATGTCAGTTGGATTCTTTTCATGACATCCTGTGTTTTATAATATGGCATGAATCAATTGGTGGAGAAGGTTTTCAAGCAAAGGACTACATTTCTGAGCTTCTTTTTCAGAAGGCCTATAAGCACCAGGAAGGCAACGCAGCCTTCACTGCCCATGAGAGCTGACAAGTGCTGATGACTTGGAGGCTGTGACCATACAATCCTGACATTAATCTGGGGCTGGGCATGAGAGCTGTTCCTGCTTCCTCATGTCCTCCATTATCCAATGGGTGAGTGAACACACACTGACAATTCATGCTCATCTACACCAGCCCATGCTAGCCAATCAGCAGGAAGGTGAGCTTGGCCCCTTGCACTTGTGCATGCAAATATGAGAGAAATCGGATACAAGGACATGCTGGGGAATGGGGAGAGCAATGCCTCTGTCTCTACAGTAGGGCATGGCATAGCTTCAGCTTTTAGGGCGTGACTGCCATGTTCTGAGGGGCAGGAGCTTGTTGGGAGTTTTCTGCTTTGCGGAGATATTGCAGTAAAGGTGCAGACACACTTTAGAAAGGTGGATCACAGATGGCTCTGAGGAAGGATGCTGATCTTACTTGTGTTCAGTTTATACTGAGAATCCACATAAAACTGATTTATCATAGAATCATAGACTAATTTGTGTTGGAAGGGACCTCTAAGATCACCTGGTTCCAACCCCCCTGCGATAGGCAGGGACACCTCCCTCTAGACCAGGTTGCTCACAGCCCCATCCAGCATTCACATCCTCACAGGACAACTTGTTCCAGGGTCTCACCACTACCACCATCTCCAAGTTGTTCCAGTGTGCCCATCCTGTACCTCTAATAACCAAACCTGCATCCAGAATCATAACCTTAGGCACATTTAGATTCATAGAAAGAAAAAAGACCACTAAGATCATCTAGTCTAACTGCCAATCCACTACCACCATGCCCTCTAACATGCCCCTCACTACTTCACAGCAAGCATCCTGGTGCAGATGGCTTCATAGTCCTTCAGCTCACAGCTTTACCATGGGATTGGCTTTGCTCTGGAACAGAGTAATCACAGCATATTTCACCTCTTGTCCTCTGGTTACCTCTCCCCAGGCTGCCAGCCCAGCGCTGTTTGCACTTGTGACTCTGAGCTCAGAGTGAAAAGCCCTGTGTTTACTGAGCCTGTAGGCTAAGGGAGTTCAGCACGCAAAATTCTGCTGCTCTCTGCAAACTTCACACCAACCTACTGAGCTGTAACCAATCCACCCACAGCAGGAGGAACAGAGTAGGTAACAGCTGAGATAACGCCAAGAGATACACTGCGGACACAGAGGAAAGCTGTGATAAGTACAGAGGAAGTTTGAAGCAAATAGATTTTAATTAGAGTATCATTCAGCCCTTTGGATATTTGCTGGGTGCAAAGCCAAATTTGACAGGGCATTTCCTTCCCAATCATCATGTACATTAAAGAAGGGACAGAATAAAGAATGAAAATCCTAAGGGAATCCTAAGCGGAGAGACATAAACAGGAGTTCAAAGGGTAAATTGCTTCATTTGCCCTGCTTACAGGTATCTACAGGTATCAGGTGGAAAAATGTTATTGCTTGCTCAACTCAGCTTCTGCTTAATTCTGCCAACTGGCAAAATGTTTATTATCCCACTTTTAATAGGTGTCACTGCAGACCTGGACTGCTGTGGGTGCCTTCTTCTGGGCTGGACTCAAAGTAAGCACAAACCAAAGTATAGAAATAATCAAAACAAGTTGCTATTGAATAGGATTTGCAAGTGAGGATTCTTGCAAGCAGAAGGCTGAGGCTGAAAAGTGAAAGCTTCAAAGGCTTTTTGACTTTTTAGGAGAAAAACTGCCTCTACTTTTCTCCTGATACACACTGGTACGCTCTCTGCTCCTCCACACCTGCAGAAATGGATGGATGCTCCAAGTCTGCTCCTTTTCTGTTGGAAGAGCTGTGCTAGACAGCTCAGCAGTCTGCAGGTGCCAGCCAGAGTGTATCTTGCCAAGAAAAGGAGACTACTTCATGCCTCTGAAGGAAGGTTTAGGGGCTGGTTTCGCACTGGAGAACTTATTTACAACATAAAGACCTTCCTGTTTAAGACAGACAAATCAGAAGCCATGCATCAAATACTATTTCAGGGGATCTCAGCAAGTCCTCTCAGATGAATACAAAATTCACCTAAAAATGGATTTCCAAAAGAACTGACAAGCTGGCTGTTGTGTCACATGGACTTTTAGCAGGTGGATAAGGGGTGAGAAGGGACAACCAGAAAAGACACAGCCAATTCTTATGTCAGTGTTCTCAAACTGCAACCATTCTGTTTTGTTTCTTTGCCTTCTAAATGGCATTTTTACCTCATTAAAATTAAAGTAGATTTTAATATTAAAACAGCTGTTAAATAATGTGAAAACAGAATAAGTTCACCCAGATTAAAAATGTATATACATATCCTTTTTTTTCTTTGCTCCATTTCTCCAGATTCTACCAGGTCAACTCAAACAAAATGCTTCCCCTACCTCATCTGTCCATTACCAGACCATGATTTATTTAGCTTGAAGCCTGTGCTTAAAGGTGCATCCAGAGCTTTTTCCAACTGCTGGTATCACAGTGCTGACACTGTGCTGTGACTCTCCTCTGTGACCCTCATGCTTTCAAACATCCTCTGCCTCAGACTTCCAAAGAATAAAGAAATAGCTGTGGTTAGTTTGCTAGGTCAAAAGCCGTCCAGCTGAAAACAGACTCTTACTCTCCCCATAGCTATGCCTGCAACTGAAAACGGGATTTTCTTTTCAAGTTTTGTCAGCTTTCCAACTCTTTCAAAAAAGAGATTGAAAGGGGAATGAAAGGAGAGAGGGATGTAAACCTTAACGTGCATACAGCTGTGGTGGGGAGCAAATGCAGGGAAAATTCGTACTGCAGTTGGTGTGTCCTCCTGCTGCCCAGGCTGAAGCAGCTCCTGTGGCTGCTGTGCTGTTGGCGGGTGTTCAGTGAATCGCAGCTGAAGATGCTCATGTGAACCCATGGGAATCTGTTCTGCCAAGTTCCTCATAGCTCTGCTCGGTTTGGTCTTATTTTTATTTAATGCTCTTCTCTTCCCTACTGCAGTTTGGTGCAGCTCCTCTCTGCAGCTTCCATGAAGATGCAGGGGTGAGAAGTATTGCAGAGTTAAGAGAAGAGAAAGTCTCTCCATCTCTCTGTCATCCTGCTCAGACACCAGATTTAGGCAAGGAAGAGTGGAAGGCTCACTTGAAGGCGGCCTGGGAGTCTGCTGAGAAAGGATGTGCCACAGCAGAGGAGGTGATTGCCACTCAGTCCTAGCTCTTGCCCCCAGAGAAGGCACAGTTTGAGAACTATCTAATTTCCTAAGTCCAGTGAAATCCTGAAGTACAAGGCAGCAGTGTGTCTTTCAGGGGATTTTTCAGAACAAAGAGACCACAAGAAATGGCTTACCCAGACTCTGAGATGCTCCAAGGTCTGCATTTTCACCTTACCTGTCTGTCACTGTTTGGAAATGTGTGTCGTCGTTTATTGCAACACTCATTCACTATCCACACAGCTGCTGAGGCAGAATCAATGCTGCACTGAGTTCTCATTAACTTCTGGGTGAGATGTGCATCCTCCTGGCTCTGCTATGAAAATGGTTGTGATCCCCCCCCCTCACAGATGTCCCTGTTTGTCACTGCGTTTGCAGACCTGACCCTGGAAGTCAGACTCCATTATAGCAACAGTCACTAGTCCAGAGGGTAATTAACCAAATAGTTGTGTTTTTTTTTTCCTTCAGCACCAAACAAGCAAGCAGCAACAAAATGCATCTTGGCAAGGTAATTGAAAGAAACTCATCACTTTTAATGAAAGTTGGAGTGATTGTATTCTAAGCCAGTTAATTACATCACTGCATTATTGCTGCCTGACAGATGAACTTAATTTACAGTCAGTGGGGAGTTAACCCAAACTAGAAGCTCATTGCAAAGATTTTATTGATTTTTAATGGGCTTTGGACTGGATCTTTGAACAGGCTTGCCTTCGTGTTTCTTTAATGCTGATTCATGTAAAAATAGAGAATCTAAGTCTACACTTAGTGCAATTTTTTCAGGCAGAACTTCTTTAATGATCAGCAGTGATCACATTCATAATGTAAAGTAACTAGATTCTCTTCTGACAAAATATTCCAAGTAAAAAAAAAACAAACCTAAAATATGACTAAGTATGCCAAATATCCAACGTATTGTTACTAGCATTATGTCTGCTTGAGGTATAGTAATCCCTTATTGAAACTAGTGTTTCAATACAAAATCCTACAAAAAGGATGTTGCTTTCTCACTCCAAATGTTACTATTTTGATATTCTTGTTTTCAAAATGTCATTTTTTTCATTATTTTTTCACATTAAAGTCTTTATAAAGCCTGTATCACACAATAACTGAGTAGCATCTTCACTTTCAAGTGCTACTTTTCACATCTGAAGCACCACTCTCTCCTTTGGTGTTACGAATGAAGACACTACCTTCAAAAAGAAAGTAAATTGTCATTCATTTTCTGACTATTTTTAAGCTTTATTAAGGAACTGTTCTACAATTAAAGAAAGTAGGAAATCTTTCACTTTATCCTTTATTTTCCTAAGGCAAAAATACTACTTTATATGAGGTAAGCTTGAAAGGGGACATTTTTCTTCCAAAATCTCTTTGGGAAAACGTTCCTTCTCTGCGGGATGTTTGTTGCAGCTTTTTTCTTCTTCTTCTTCATAAGACATTGAACCAAATCTCTTCCCAACCAAACGATGAATGCAATGCATTTACTCTCTTCATTTCATGATCCACACTATAGCTGCAATCTAGGTGCTGTCTTGAGACAGTTAGATCCATCTGTGTGCTTCTGGACAGATTTTCAGTTCTACAGCTGCTCAGTAAGAGCTAAGCTGCTTTCCAATTAGTGCTGTTTAATCTACAGTGTTTATACAATACTTGCTTTGAGTCACAGATGAAATTTGTACATCTAGAGACCATCTCTTATAAAAATATGTAAAGTAAGAATGAACACCAGAGACAGAATTATCCATATACAGAGATGGGATTTACAGGAAAGAGCTTTCTTGTGATGCTCAAACCATAAAAAATGCATCTGAAAGTTTATTGTGGCTTTCTGTAATATCCAGACAGGAGCCCGTTCTGCTCTGCTCCTACTTTTTCAGGGCAAGTGTAAAAAGTTGAAAGTTTCTTGCTGTTGGTTATGTACTTGCTGGAAGAGTAAAAAGGTGAATTTCTGCTGCCTGTGCACTAATAGACAGTAGCTAGCAGGGATGAACACCTGGCCCAAACTCCCTGGAATTTTAAGTTCCAGCCTCAAAAGCATCTGACTGATCCTTCACATGTTTACATAAAGCAATGTCAAATATCACACAGATTAAATGTTCACTCCCTGAGACGCACGCAGGCTCAGCAAGGTTTAAAGTTCTCTTTTCAGCTGCTATAAAAAGCACTGCAGCATCTCATCATTCCCCATGATGAGAGTTTGTCTCGTTTCTAAATTGCCTTTTCATTCCACCTGCTCTGGTTCAGAGGGGTGCTGAGCAGGACTCTCTCCCTGCTCCACAACAGGCTGCATTGCAGTTGCTGGTATTGAAGTGTTGAGTACACAGCTGTGAGACATAGCCTCTCACTAGAAGCCAGTCCTTTTACACTTCAATTTCACATTTTTGTTTTATACTGTAGAGATTCAGAGTTGAATCCTCTTATCAGCCCAAGCTTTGGCTCAGAGACTGAGGAGTGTTTGCTCCCTGATGCTAGATCTGCTATCTGCTAGGGAGGAGTCAAGAGAATAAACATTTCAAGAAGGTGAAAAACTCAAAGGCAAACTTGCATGTAAAGTGGCAGCCAGCAAAAGGTGAAATGTTAGCAGGCAAGGGTAGCTCCAGCTCTGGGAAAGAAAAGCCCTGTTATGAGCAGGAAGGCTCATCCAGGCTCTGTGACAGGAGGAGCTGGTAAGCTCTCATTGTTCCTTAACCTATGGACTCTGGAGTACTGGGCAAGTCGTTGGTGTCTTGGTTATCACTGAATTCACCCTGACCTGGGTGATTTCATGGGATTTCAACATTTTTATAGAGGTACAGAATAGCATACACATGAAGAAGAAGAATGTAGTTTTGATGACAGGTCTGGAAAAAGAGATGAATCAGGGGAGGAAGAGGGAGGTGTTATATGATGGAAGTCTGCTAAATCTTGTGTGGTGTGGAAATGTCTTGCTTCTGGCAAAAAAAAAAAAACAAGTAGGAGACATAGTTTCATAACAGAGGCAGGTTTAAAACAAAGGAAAGTATATACTTCACACAGTGAAGAGTTCTGGACATCCTTGCTGCAGGATATGTGTTTAGTGTGCAGTTGAAGTTTATGGCTTCAAAAAGGAACTGGACAAATGCATTGTAGAAACATCCCTTGGGAGCTATGGTCATCACTAACTCCACAAATAAGCAAACTCGAAGCAACTGATGGTTGAGAAAGCAGTCTTCCCCAGACTGGGAAAATATTACATTGCATTTTCTTTATTTTAGTCTTCCATAGAAACAACATCCTGTGTAGGGGGGATGCTTGACTACTACATCTCAAGTTCACCCTGCATTGTAAGTTTGAAATTCAAAGATGAATTTACTTCTATATAACAAGTCATAAAATTCTATATAACAAGTCGTAGGTCCTCAGAAAATGTAGCCTTCATTGATAGTCATAAGATTAGTTCGCTCAAATCCAAAAATCAGTTTTCAGTGATGGTCATTATTTTCAGATAATAAATGTTGTATCAGCAATTTTGATAGCTTTTTAATGCCTTTTCTTTTAGTACAATGCTACATGGAGAATTACTTAATGTACCAAATTACAACAAATTTAAGCTATCAAAAATGAATTTATAAAGCTGTTTAATGTATCAGTGCATTGTCATTTGCCAGGGAAATAGCACACTGTAGACAAAGAAAACAAGGCAGCATATTTTCTTTATAATGCAAATGCACTTTATCATTTGCAAGGAAATTCAATACAGAAAGGAGCCAAAGTCTAACTCAAGGTTCAGTCTTGCTATGAGATTGCTCAGGTGAGCTCAGACAAGCAGATAACTTGTCCTGAGACAAGAGTTAGCCAACTAAACAGACTCCCAATTCAAGAACAGATTTCATGCCCAGTCCTCTGCCAGCTTCCTTTGTGTAACATTCATCCTTTACAGAAGATATTTGCAATTTCTGCTTGCAGGAATAATGAAAAACTAAGAAGAGTTGTCCCAGTCCAGGAGAACACAGTCATAGATCCAGATTCACTGGGAGTCAGGAACATGTTGCCATATTATAATACCTGAAAGGACTTCAATGCTTGGAAATCAACTATACTGTTAAGAGGTTGTACAGTGTATCTGCAGAGATAATAGGCGCAATGTCTTACACAGAAATTAATTATGAAGCCAACCCCCTAACTATTTTCATGCAAACTAAAAACTGCTTCTTTAGATCACGGTAAAGTCTCCAGATAAAAATATCACAGATACCACAATATCTGTGGCTTAGCAGATTTCCAGCTTGGAGCACATTTTTGTGCAGCCACAGTGATTGGGTTTTTTTCTATTTTGCCTGAGAATGATCCTGGTTCGTGTTGAACTCCA